ACTCGCACTGCTCCAGCAGCTTCCGGTAACTGAAGGCGCCGCTCGCCGCCGCCATCACCGCCACTGGCATCTTCGCGCCCCCACGGCCGCTTCAGCTCCCCTCCCGGCAGACGCTGCCCCAAACACCCCGGCGACGGCACTACCCGAGAGAGACCGAGAGAGAAACCACTGCGCGTGCGCACTCGTTCGCGCACCTTCCACTTCCGGCCGACAGACGTCACGTCACTCCCTCCTCTCTCGCCCCCACTCCTCGAACCAGCCGGAGGACCGGAAGAGGACGAGGAGGGAACGCGTGGGCTGCGGGAGCCGGACTCGAGTCTTTCCTCGGCTGTGAGGGGAGGGAGCGGCTGTCCGTAAAAAGGAAACATTTGAACTGTCACCGTCGGTGTGATCCGTAAAGGCCCCGCCCTCTTCTCCTTGCGGGGCTCTTTCTGGCCCATATCTTTTTTCGTTTGAACGATGGAGGTGTTGCGGTTTTTAAAGAGGCATTTAAAAATAGCTTTGCCGGAGCACCTGCCGCCTATTATCCACGCAGGTCCGCTCCTTGGAGGGAGAAAGAGAGAGGAGGTGCGGCTTTGAGAGAGAGAAAGAGAGAGAGAGTAATAGAATCCACTGTTAGTAGCATATAGGAAATTACGAAGAGAGAAGCTGAGGGAGGGTTGCGCTCTGTGGCAGCATAAAAACATAAAATCCGTCGACACTAAAAGGACAAAGTGAATTGCTAGGTGGGGCCAATTGTCTTATACGTTAAGATCTCTGAAAGGGAATTAACAGCACATGTCATCATAAGACGTGTTCTTGTTTATGATTATGATAATTATATGAAGAGTATATTTTATTTAAGTAATTACATAAGTCTAACACCTGGGAGCAAACGGGGTTCCCTGCTTCTGTTGGAAAAGCATTTGTGGCCTGGCCTATGTGCCCCTCCACGTGTATTTTTACTGTTGAATATTCCTGCAAATCGCCAGTATTTTGGGTTAACTCTATTGTAACTCGATGATCAGAGACAGGCACACAACCAGCCTTTGTAGATGTCTTAACACATTAGACAACAGTGAAAGATAAATTCTCTAATAAAGTCATTCCTGGTAAAATAGAACAGTGTAGATTAACATGGCAATTGATAACCCAAGTTTTTTTAAGTTTATTAAGATTTGTCACCAATTTTTTAGTAGTAAGTGATATATTCACATTCTGACTTACAAGGAGTGGCTGAGAAGGTGATGTTTACAAAAGCACTGCTGTGTAGTCTAGTGAGAATAAAGTATGTTATTGGTGGGATTAAATCTGAAGTAGATTTTCAGTTAAAAGCTCCTGTTGTCGAACACCCACCAGTCTGTAGAACAATTTATTTGCAGAAAAAGTCTCAATACTAAATTACCTTCCTCAGTCCTTTCAGCCCAAATGCAGTGATAACTTCTGCTCCATTGATCTGTACGCAGACACACTGCATTTTTAATGTTTAAAAATACTTTTCACAAAATAATACGCGAATTAGAATTAATATGAACTTCTGTTTACAATTTTGAGATAAACTCTGTTAAATGCAAACTCAGGTATTTGGGATTTCCCTCAAAGTTTATGCAGAAGTTTAAGAATAGTTTTGCACCATGCTCTTCCCCTGCCCCATGATGTAGCGTATGCCAAGACTGTAGTAGTATCATATATGTTGTACTTCTATGAACAACTGTAAATACAATACAACAGTGTAGTAGTATTTTATATGCTTTACTCCTTTGGTCTGTACACAAGATTGTAAGGATTAGAAATCTGCTTTTGTAATTCCCACCCCATCCATCCAGACGCTTTGAGGTCAGGAGTGCCTTGGAGGCTGCAATATTCTGAAATTGGTTTTTGTAAGTTGTAATTTATGATGTCAGATATACAGCACTTCTCTTATACAGAGATTTTCCTGTTTGCCCTTTTGTACAATGCAGATCGTTCCTGGTGGCAAAAGATGGAATAGATCATAATCATGACTACACAACTTTAACATTGAAAATGAAGAAATTGAAATAGTTGAGAAATTTTGTATACCTTAGTTTAATCAACAACCCTGTTTTAATATGGAAGTTTAAAGCCTTGTCATGAGGCGCTAAGCTACAAAAATTTTTAGAGGTAGAAAGAGTAGGTTAGATGGGCTCATGTACATATTTATTGCATAAGAAGACCAGTTCTTTTCCTATACATTTAGATGTGGAAAGTGACTCCTTTTATAATATATGGACACAGTCCAAAAACTGAACTACCTTTTCTTTGTTTATTTATCTTAAAAAAAACTTCCCCTATTCACCCTTCCCAGCTCATTAATAAAATAGAATCCTACTGGGATTTTACTTCAGAGTAATTACGAGTAACAAATTACAATTAATTATCAAGATACTGACTACATGCCTGGTCATGTGTCAGACACAAGACTAGCACCCTGTGTAGTAGTGCAGTGATTTCTGTCGTTTCAGTTCCTCTTGAGTGAAATCCCAGTTGAATTCTGGCCGAAGTGGGCTCATGACCTGAGCAGACAGGATATCTTTCTCCCCAAATTTTTCTGTGAAGTGCTTCCTGTTTCATTACATGAGCTATCCCTGATTTTGGCCGTTAATTTCTCCTTGAATGAATTCTCTCCTTGAATTCATATTTGACAAACAAGTTTCAGTTTGAAAGCAGAAGTACAATTACTTTCAGAAAAGCACTGATTTGTATAATATTAAATGGTGCAAATATCAGGTAGATTCTGTGTAACTGTGTGCATGGGTTCCTTGTTGGGAGAAATGTAGCATATAAATAAAACTAATAAATAATAAGCAGAATTTTAAACTTGTATTAAGCAGTGTTTTATATTTGTTAAAGGAGGGGTCAGGTAGGAACCAGTTTTAAGCAGTTTTGCTTCCTCTGCCATTTCCTTCTTTTTCAGGTGGTGGTGCTAATGCATTGCTAACTAGTCCACCAAATATACGTGCCAAAAATGTTCAGATTTTACATCTTTCCAAAAGTTAGAAGGAAAGAGTTAATTTAGTTAAGATAAAGTTGAAGGGGCAAATTTGAAATAACTTAATTTGGTGTTATCATTTACATTTAATTTAGGTGACAACAAAACAAATGTTTTGGAGGCAGGCAGTACATCACGGCCTCTCCCAATTTGAAGAGACCCTTGTCCAGCAGGCTGAGGCAAAGAGGAAGTCACAAAGGAAGCAAAACCAGGGAGCTGGACAGGGGACAGATTGGATTTGTCTCCAGTGTGGAAGGGATTGTCACTCTCGAATTGGCCTCCTCAGCCACACTAGACGCTGTTCCAAGTCCTCCATACAGAGCACGATACCATAGTCTTTCGAGACTGAAGGATGCCTACTACAATTTACTAATTCCCAGGTAGAGCCCCCACCTCTCTCCTGAGTGTTCTATCCCTCTTTTTTTGTCAGTTAGTGGCAGTTGCTTGTTGCTGTTGATCTTTTCAGTTGGTTGCTAGTAAGTATGCAGTAAAGAAAGTAAGTCTAATTTTAAGCAACTATAAGTAAAGAAACATTTTTTATTCTTTGTCCTGCAAATATGTCAGATTTATTAAGACTGTAAATGCCATGCAATGCAAAAGGGATGGACTCTGGAGAACTTGAACTTATTCTCTTCTGTGGATTGCTGTACTACTAATGTGTAGCAAAAGGAGAATTTTACCAGAACCACAATAAAATAAACTAATTAATTTCTTCACCATTTTTTTGTTCGGTTTATTTCTTTTGGCAATTCACCTCCCTGGCCAGACAGCCTGCTGCTGTCAATCAAATTCCCTGAGCACGCTGGGGTTGACCTAGAGAAAACTTCATTGTCAAGTTAGGCATCCAACCACGGAGCTCAAAGTGCTCTCGGGGAATTGCTTCTTACATATAGAAGAGCCACACAGCAGCCATTTCACTTTTGCAACAGCTGTTGTGAGCAGAAGACCTTCTAGGTCCTGATCACACAAGGCAAATACAGTATTCCCAAGTTTTAACAATACTTTCCATAACTCTGTTGTACTGAATCACAGTGATATGATATGTGTACTGGGGCAAATGTTCCCCTTTGTTTTAATGTTACCAAATCATTTCTTCCTATTTGTAACATGGATGTGAAACCATTTTAATACACTGGATGCCGATTTATTTTCTCTTTAAGTCTCTACACCTCCCTCTCTCCGTGTTCCCCACCGATGCAGCCACAGATTATGCTGGAGAAGGGGTGGATGGGGTGTGTGGCAGACTGGTCACCTCCTGCTCTGAAGGATGCCTTCTGCCACCACCACCACTGTGTCTGCCCAGATGGCTGCCCCATGCAGGCTGGCCTTGACTGACCCCAGGGGCAGTCTGTAGGGGGAGCAGAAACTTTGCCGACAGGCTGGTGGGACTCCACACTTCCCCTATGGTAGGGCTGGCTCTGTGCTTCCTTTTTTCACTTGGCCTCTCCCACCGCCACTACCTCTCTGCACACCTGGGTGCAGCCTTACTTGTCACCCCCACGGCCTCCTGAACCCACCACTACCAGCTTGGACTGCTGCATGGGTGCACACAATCTGGCCGGCCACCAGTGTGCCCAGAGTGCGATCATTGCTGCTGGAGGTTGGATCTCAGGTGGGTGTGGAGCCCAGCCCAGAAAAGGCTCTAGACCTTGAGCCCTGTTGGAAGCAAGAAGGTGGGGAAGTGGGTGGACAGAGGATGACAAGTGGGCTTGGGAGGAAGAGCCTGGGGAAGCAAAATGAAGCCATTTCAGCCAATCCTCTTTTCCCCTGCTTGCTGTGACAAGGCGTGACAGCTTTGGATGACATGAAGAAGAGAGGAGGAAATGGACTGATAGGGACATTTGCATAAGCAATACCAGTAAGGAATGTTTTGACATATCATCAGTACAAAATAAAACTGTCCCATTGAGGAGAAAATGTTCCACAGTTACACCACTGGCTGGAAAAATGATTTGGTAATGGCTGTGTGTCATGTGACTGGAAATTTATGCAACAATCTAAAGGGAATACTGTAACTGAGGAACATTGTCATGGTGTGATCAGGGTCTCAGTCTTAGTTAGCTAGTCCATGGTCATTCTTTATTTACAGTCCTTAGACCAACAGAGGTTCTAGAAAGTATTTCAGTGTCATCCACATATAGTAATACTGGTGCTGTTCTACTGGCAAGTCTGTGGGGTGAATATTGGAAGTATTTAGGCAGTTGGGTAGATAATAT